TCTTTAATACAAAAGCTGAACATATGGAAACTTCGTTTCAGCTTCTCGATTCGGGATTGTGCGGTACTTTCCGGACATCTTTGTCATGTACAATAATGTTTGCTTGACAACTGGAACTCTGTAGTCGTGCTCTCTCGAATACGATGTAAGAAAGGAATGAACAGGGATTAACATATTTTAGCCAAGGTAACGTCTACAGAAAGGACAAAGAGCCAAACATTCAATTATATTATTTTTAAAACAAAGATCATCTCGTTTCTGATAACAGAACTAAAGGCTTGGGGATTTTCCCCCTTTTAGTTCGCTTGATAGCTCATTTAAGTTCCCTGCACGATCTGAAAATCTAAAATTCAAATCGGCATGGTAGTGCATATGAAATCCAGAATAGGGAAAATCTAATCCTTGCAGGCAATATTTGAGATGAAATGTAATCCGTATATTCCTGAACTTTTTGTTGCAGAGGTGAGTCATAACTAACGGCAATCTGCGGGCGTGGTCTCAGGTGACATTTATTTCATAGTAATCAATCACACTATAATAAAGTATACCAAAATATAATATGCATAATCTATACTTGCAACACGTACAATTACACATTACTAGTTTATTATGAATTACTTATAATTACTAAAACATAAAACACTACATAGCTGTTATAAATTATCGGTAAGACTTCCGCCCGTGTCCCCCAAAATATTAACGATGAGGAAAAAAAGTATACATATCCAGGCATTATGATTTACGTTTAAGGGAGGGAAAGGGGGGATGGGAGGGGCGGAAGTCTTTCCCTAGATAGTTGGAGACAGAAATGAAATAACCTGTCCACCTTTTCACATATAACTACGACAACGGCTAATAAACATAAAACTACTTAAAATGAAAAAAATTAAAACTCTGTTCCAGAAACCTGTAAACACAATATCCTGTTACACGTTTAGTCGCAAACAGCTGGTAAAACCCTTGTTGTGGTGCTCATTTTCCGACGGAAAGAGGACTGAATGAATTGTGTCAAATGTGGGACGCTGGAAAGTGTTTGCGAACGATTTGGCAAGAGTGCTGATCGAGTTGTCTCCCTTGACATTGGCAAGATGTAGGTTTTAGTTTGTAAAATCTGTTATCGACCATTTGCACCGTTGATCAGTCACGAGGTGGTGAATATCAGGCCTGATACAAGAATGTACGCTCCTTACATTGGTTAAACAGTAACTAATTTTAATAAGTGGCCAAATTCTTAAGAGACACTTGTGCGTGATACCCAGCATTGAATTGCCGACGACGAATTGTCCGAGTTTAGCACATACAGTTAGATGATTTATGGTTTATCTTCGTAACTCAAACCAGACGAAACCAAAACGATTTGCCAACAATACTTTCTCCTCCCATGCTACGCAGTTTAAATGACCTCTATCTACACTATGTCCCATTGCCACTCCTCTCTTCCAAATACCACTAATACTTACAATAAATCAACACACAGCACACGGTCGAAATAATTTGTCAGAACACAATCGATTAAGCACAACATACACGAACCGTTGTCTGAGACAATGAAACAATCCGTGATACCTTGGAACGGTGAAAATATGAAGAATTCCTCACGTTATACAGTATCGACTAGTCTATAATGACACTTTAAACCAAAAGTCAGGGTGGTCCTTATTGGTAATCATGTTGTTGCAACGTGCACAATCCTGTAAATCTACAGGTTGATGTTGGACACCATCACAGACAGGCGTTGTCAACTAGGGTCACGAAACGTTGTTACTAGCGTGGATATTGTTTACAAACTGCTGTGTTTGATATCCAGCATTAACCCCAAAGTGGGTAAGGTACAGCCAGAGGCATTCATTTGAAGTTGTAACTGTCACCGGCGATTATCCCTTACCTACTGATGCAGAAATACATAGTTATTCAATAGAACTACTGTTAATCATTTATTCAGATATATATTGGCTTCGGTGAAGCCGGTGTGATGGCGTCATGCTATGCAACTAAGCCAAGAACTCGCTGGCCATTCGGAACCTCGAACTAAGCTATTGATGGCCATTGTGTAATTGTAGCTAAATCATATACACAGTATGTGTATATGACACAATAGATTTGTCTCCCAGCTCACATTGACAAATGGCATCGTGGTCTGTCACATCGTGTGGTTCATTTTGTTACGTACTATTTATAGAACGGAGCAGTGGTTATTACCAGTTACAACCCGTTGAACAGCATAATATAAAACTACTGATCCGCCTTGATTTGAGGTGTCAAATACTATTAATAAAGATAGGTACTTATCTCTAGCTATAGTGGCCGCATGTCTCGTATATTCATGATGTCTTTCAGTGGCATTTAGAAGTTGTACATTGATGTCCAAGATATTTTTATGGATTAAACTTCTTTTTTAATTTCTCTCACAACGTTTCGAGACCATTCCAGGTCCCTTCATCAGGTGAACAGTTCACCTGATGAAGGGACCTGGAATGGTCTCGAAACGTTGTGAGAGAAATTAAAAAAGAAGTTTAATCCATAAAAATATCTTGGACATCGTATATTCATGTTCCCTTGTAGGTCAGGGTGCCCATGACATGCTGATCATTTAGGTTAGACGAATGAATGCTTTCATGTAATAATAGTTTCACTTGAGTAAATAGTCTAAGTCTGTGTTTATGTTGTAGGCCTGCCGTGCGACCGCCGACTGTGCAAGCTCAACGCAACTGCAGACGAAGTAATGGCCAGACAACGTATCCTAGCCAGAAAGCTTGTTGAACTTGCGGATGACCTTGACAAACAGCAGAGGAAACTCCGCAAGGCGAAGGTTGGTCTCTCCGCATCCAGTGCCGTGGGTGCAGCATTGTCCGCAACAGGATTCGGGTTGTCCTTTGTCTCACTTGGGGCGTCGTTGGTTTTGACGTCAATCGGAACAGGTATCTCTATCGCCAGTACCGTTGGAACCGCGGCTACCAAGGTCGCAGACAAGATCATCAAACGGAAGAAGGTAGAGGAAACTAACGCATGCGTAAAGGCCTACACACACGCTGTACAACAGTTCGCGCCAGTTCTCGAGTTCTTCTGTGAAGGTCTCTCTTCTCGTGATGATAAAGCAAGATTGAGACAGATCCTCACAGACTCTAGAGTGACGTCAAGCAATATTGGAATCATCGACGTAAAGTCTCCAGACAAGCTATGTGCTGCGTGTGCCAAAGGGCACCAGATCATGGCCACCACGTTACGTGTCCAGGAGCTCATGGCGGAGATCGAAGGAGACCCTAGTATGGAGACACCAGGCCTGGATGTCGCCAGTTGGACTGCTGGAGTTGTGTCGGACAAGTCGACGTTCGGGAAGGGGGACATACAAGACGTTCAATACTGCTGCCAAGGCTATCCACATCGGCGATGTGGCACTGACAGGGGGTGGGAATTATTCTAGACATGGGATCAATTATCTACAACAGTATCAAACTTCACAACAAGGAGCCGTCCGAGGTAGCTCTGCTTATACGCGATTTGGCGCTGGCTTTGGATCGAACTTGGGGTGAACTCTTATTAATAGAAAACCCTTTGTGTTACAATTGCCCGATGACGTTGAGGTTACAAGGGACTAAGTTCGGGACACGAAGCTTTCCTGGCACGACCGAGTTACATTATTTGAACCCACTGTGTTTGTCTGCTTATTGTGTTACAGATGTCGTTGATGCTGTTACTGGTCACCCCCGTGCACAGGATCAGAGTATCACCCTGGACATTGATTCAAACCTTGAAATGGACACCAGATATTATTTTTGTCTTTTAATGATGCTTTGTGTGCGATGTTTGTGTCAGATATTAAATGTAGAACTGTTTATACTAGTTGAGTCTTGTCTTTTATTGAGAGGATATCCATTGTACAAATCACACTTTAACTATGCCCAACTCATGTCAAAGTGAACAATTAGTTAAGCTCATCAATTATCATCACGTTTGCTTTATGGGCATCGCCTCCTTTGTATGATTGACTGGTGAGTTGAACTTACTTCCACCCATGAAAGGTTGCTTGCTAACAACCAGGAAAACGCCCCGTGTAATGTGTTACCGGGGAGGACAGAAACAAACATATTGATAACAGACAGGGTGTTGGCTGGAAACACAACGATTCATCTCGTAAGTAGTCACTTTTCAGTTAGCATGTACAACATTTTCACAAATGTTTTATGTTACATCTAATATATTTAGTTACCTATTCCACTGCTATGTGAATTGTACAGTGTTGTCGTTTGATTATGTAAACAATTTTAGATATTTCTCATTCTCTGCACACACTACCGTCTTAAAGTGAGCCAAACAGGAAACTAAATGCACAATACCTTTGTTATTTGCAGTGGGGAAATATGTTTCGTCATTGTAAGAGTGTGTTGGGTATGCAAGAGTGGCGAGTGAATATATTTAAACCTTAAGTTTTTGGTTTGCATATTTCGCAATGACGGATGAACGTGGATTAGAAATATATAGGGGAAATACATTAACATAGTGTGACCCTCACTTGAGTTAATCGGGGCCTTGTCTAGAACACGTTCATCATACATGGCTCGTACAGGTCGCGCGTCGTGTTTGTTTACTTAAGGGCGTAATGGCAGTCCATACTTCAAACATTTCCTCGGTGGGACATGTTCAATAAACACACACGTGGAAGTAAGTTTGAATTTGCAACACATGAACATTCTTCTTGCATTCGCTAATTGTGCTCACCGAATAGTTGGAAACATATCTCAACAAACATGTCCTAAACCACAACAAGAGGCCTTCAGAGGTAGCTCTGTTCTACGACAGTAGACAGATAGAGTGTTCTATACTATGGTAATAAAGCAACACCCCACTCGGTCAATCTGTACTGAAACATGTCAAACTTCTGTATGCTTACCAACATACAAACACGTGGATATTCTATTCTTGGGAATAAGTCTACATGAGATAAATACTAGTACATTAAGAAGCGATACACAAAGACGTGTGTGATTTCTTTTCCAGGCACAATGGCAAGCAAGCATGAGAAGTTGCAGAGGAGGTTGTCTGACGCGTCCGATGCCTGTTTGGAGAAACTGGACGTCGTCATAAGAAAGCTGTATGCACTAGCGGACGAACTGGACATACAACAAAAGAAAATGGACATCGCAAAAATTAGTTTCGCAAGTTCTGGTGTTGTTGGAGGAGGTTTGGCCATTGCAGGTTTCGGTTTATCTTTTGTCACATTCGGAGCGTCTCTCATCCTAACGGCTGTAGGAACCGGCATCGCTGTGGCTAGCGGTGCTGGGGGAATCGCTACAACAATTGCAGAGAAAATTGTTAAAAACAAAAGCGTCAAAGAAGCTAAGGAAGCGGTGCTGGAGTATTCCTCTGCCCTGGCGGACTTTGTGCTTATCCTTGAAGTCTTCAGTGATGCCTTGACACACGACGAGCAGGTACGGATGCTGGCCATCCTGCAGTCATCCTCCAGTGATGACACTTCCACTGAGGATCTCTTCAGTGACGTGCAGGATAACACCATGGCTGCAGGTGCATATATGAAAGCTCACAAAATCCTTAAAGCAGCCAAAATTGTTAATGCCACAGTTGGTGCCATAGAGACTGGGGCTAAAGCAGGACTGCATGCTAGTGCCAAGGCAGGCCAGGCAGCTGCTGATATTGGCGGAGAGGTGTTTACAGGTGGTAAGGAGGCGTTCCGAGCACTGGGGACTGCTGCTAAAGCCATCAAGATAGGAGGGGTAGTCTTGTCAGGAGTTGGTGTCATCATTGACGTCGGATCTATTATATACTACGGCATCAAAATACGTAAACGCAAACCTTCTGAGATTGCGCAAATGATTCGCAAAGTTGCCAGATCCTTGGAAGATAAGGATGAAGAACTGGGGGGAAGAGGTTGCTTTCGAGAAAGATGAGTTGCATCTGTCCAGGAAGATGGAGACCAAATTGGGTATTGTACCTAACGACGACGTAAAGGCCGTGGAATAGAGTCACTAACTGAGCATCACATACAACCGCTCGAAACGTAATGTGCTTGTAGTAGTTTAGGCAACGGACGCTATGATTATTGTAGATTTGGAGCCTGCAACCTCAGATTTGCATCACATATTACATAGGTCTACCACATTCCTATTTCTTGCTGTTGTCATATAGGCCACGGAAACAGGTCATGGTTGTTGTTGTCTAACGTCGACAACTCTATGGAGGCAAAACGCATACGCCAATAAAATTTACACGAACCATTCAATGAATGACGTATTCTGAGAATGCATGATGCAAATCTGTTCATTACTTGCACTGAGCATCAAACACTTGACACGCTTACATGGAATCTACACAGCTGCTTCATACCGACATAAACAGACTGAGCAAGATGTGCCATGTCAGTGATCACATCTTTAATGACAATCGTTGCAAACAGAAGCAGTCTTAACAAACTTCAGCCATTTGTCCATAGTGCAATCATAAAGCTTGAATGTTCATGCAATAAGCACATAAATTTAATGTTGAAGTTCAATTGTGTAGATCTGTGAGAATCATAATAAACTGATGGTATGGTTTTCTCTCGGCATTATTATCGTTAGCCGCTATTGAATATCAATGTATTGTCAATACATCGCTTGTGGATTTTGTCATTTAATGTGCAGTAATTACGTCATTAATAGCGGCGATGACGTATTGCCCCCATATCGATGTTTCACGTCCTTTTAGAAAGTGCTTACAAGCTAGGTCTAAAATAATTCCCTGATGTGCTACAAGTTTTACTGTCGCAACGACATCTGTTAATAACAATGTTAATGTCGATGAATGTTGTTTTTTTCGTTAGTCACAACGTGGCTGATATCTTGCAAGCGTCAACGATCTACTCACTTTCAGGAAATCTTTAATACTGACGCTCTTCTATAAATATGAAGTGCGTGTTTGCATATAGATTTATAGAAAGATTTGGACAAAGGTCAGGCATTCCGGAAGAGATATGTGTGTCCCTATCAGCGTGTGTTGTTATCCTGCTATGACGACCGGCGTCCCGGGGATATCCGCCAGGTACACGCCAGGCGGGAACTCGATACATGCATACGTACGGGGCGGTAGATTGTGAAGCGAGTGAAACAGAAATAACGTTGTATTCAAAGGATATATATCAACCTTCAGCTGCATATACTCAAAACAAGTATATACCTGCAGGTACGTATATACGTATATATAGTGACATTACTGATTTCTGGCAAATAGTACGTATATGCTTCCCGACAAAAGAAAGCTGACGTCACCTGTTGTGAGATACTAATATTATGCATGTAATGCAGCCCTTGATATCAGTATGAAACATATGGCACGAAATAAAAATTCCTTGATTTTTCATTTTAGTCTACATATCAAATATTGCTGTTTTCGCCCTGTGTTGCCCGGTACTGCATGTGTGTAATGGATGACCAGATGCTAATGAAAAAGACATTATTTCTAAGTCTTATACTTTCTGTTCATCTGTTTGATGATTATGATAATTATTTGTGAACTTTCGCAGTACTTACTTGAACTTAACGAAACTAAACACCATTTAATATCAAATATTACCTTGTCAAAGGCTTAACCACCGATATCTTGGTATCTTGGCAGATAAACATTGCATACAATAATAACGCGATTTGTAATCTGCCCTACATACAGGATACAAGGGCCATGTCGGTCGCAGATACCAAGCTGGACGAGCTGTCAGAAGCGACTACTGACTGCGTCGCCCGCCACGACCACGTTGTGCAGCAGTTGTTGGACCTGGCAGATGAGCTGGACAAGGAAGAAAGGGAGGTTGACATCGCCAAGATTGGCTTTGCAAGCACTGGAGCTGTGGGAGGAGGACTGGCGTTACTTGGGTTCGGTCTGTCCTTTGTTACCTTTGGGGCTTCCCTCATCCTGACAGCTGTAGGGGCGGGTATATCCGCCGTCAGCGGGGTTGGAGGACTGGCGACAACGATCACAGAGAAGATCATGAAAAACCAAAAGTTGAAGGAGGCCAAGGCAGCTGTTCAGGCCTATTCAGATTCAATCAAATCGTTTTCGCATGTTTTGGAATCATTTTGTAAACTGTTGCCTGATGAGGACCAAGAGAAGATGTGGAAATCTTTGAAGGATAACATTGAAATGGAAATGACAATAAGTAGTGTTATTTCAGACGGTCGCAAACTTGTTGACACCATAGCCAGTATCAAGAAGTTGATGACAGCGGCTAACAATGTCAAGGACGTAGTGGAGGGACTGCAAGGGGAGGGAACCGCTGCAGCAAAGGTCGTAGATGTAGGGGGAAATCTAGCCAAAGAAGGCGACGAAGCTTTTCAAGCTCTGAGTACTGGGGCTAAAGCTGTGCAAATAGGAGGCGTTGTCTTGTCCGGGGTAGGCGTGGTCATTGACATTGGTTCCATCATATACTATGGGATCAAAGTTCATAACCGAAAACCTTCCGAAGTTGCTGAACTCATAAGGAAATTGGCGAGATCTATGAACTAGCATTTGTCTAATGTTGTTAAATGTCAATACAATGACTGTATACATACCAAACTGTCTAGTTTTGTTTAACTCTATCGGTCTTGTACATTGATCGGTCTGTCACATTGATGTAGGTGTTCTGAATTGATGCGACAAGACTCACGTGACACTGACAGGCTCTCATCACTAAAAGGTTATTTTCCGTTTGCAGAAAGACGTAGCGTTACAACGTAATTAAAATACAGATGTAATTCAAATAAGTCTACAAATAGACACGAATTCCTGCTGAGCATGAAGCACAAACCTGAACCAAATGCTCAAATTCCAAAGCCTAATATTAACAATTAATCAAATAATCAAATATGTTCTGTTTTAAATCATTTGGGCATATAACCATGACTGAGGTACATAAACAAAACCTTTCTGTGTTCTACCACAAGAATGTACTATGAACCCTGGTCCAACCCTGGGCCATGTGATCAGATGACACAGGACACAGACTGTGTTATAAAACTGAGCATATCCATGCGGCAACCTGGAGTTGATCAGTTAATCCTGGCATTGTTGACTGCTTTACTAAGTAGCCCGAGCGATCTATCCAGCACTCCAAGGTCACTCGCACAAACGAGATGATATTTAAAAATAATAACATCAGTTCATACGTCTAACTGATTTGAGATGTTAAGCTAAGTGTTCTTCGCGAACAGTATCATTTGTGTATTGCACGAAGGACGTTCAGATAAGCGCTCGTATTTGATACAGTCTCTTCTCATAAGACATACCTATAGTAAACATGTGTTGTAATTCAACTGCCTTGATGAAGTAACAAATCACCCAGGTCGAATATAGACAAATATCTGCGTCTACAATTTATTATACACAACCGTTTACAGCATCAAGTAACACACCTGTATAGTTTATTTAGTCATTTAAATAGGTGATTGAACAAAGCAAAATGTTTTTCAATGTCCATATACGTTAGGCTTTATATTTATTGCAACACGATCCATGTATGTGCCATGTTATTACCAATACTGTTACAGCCGTCGTATAGCTGGACTGGTACTGCTACGTGCGGTGTTAAGCAACACCGAACCAACAAATATATACTATACCAAATACATGTGGTAATGTCAACCTTTCGTTTTTGAAGGGCTTTGTGTGTGTGTCTGTGAATCCATCTGAGCCAGGGATATTCTTCAGAATGTCTACGGTGAGAGATGTTTTATTGAACACCATTTAAATACAAATTACAATGACAACGTAAAGGAAATGTTTGTTGTGAAATAACTCAAACGCAAACAACATATGTGACTTATATATCAGTGGAATCAGACTTGTAATCGCAGATAAATCACTCTCCATTTGAGCTCTTTTGCAAATGCTTGCATACAGGCACGATATATTTTATGTCCGGTTCCCAGATTCATGAAACTTGCTCAATGGATTCTGGAATTTATGTCAAATTTATTGTTTCTGAATATAAATGCTCGTAGTTGGGGAAAAACATGTCTATAAATAACGCTGAAATATCCAACAAAGCGTTAAAAGTCCAAAGTACTCGCAGTCGCCGGCATTAAAGTGAACTGTTACGTTTGGATGTAACTCTCAATTCAACAATCCAACAGAAACGCTGAACCGACCCAATGAAAACATGTCGCTCAGTATCCCCTGTCAATGTCCACAACATTCTCCAGCGCTTGTCCGTTCAGGTAACGATTAAAGTTGGCCAAAACATGGACGCCAACTGCAAAAGAACAATATAAATAATATATGCGATGACCATGGGATTGTCATGTTCAATTTTAAACAGTTCGTTGCATCACTGCATTGTGTTAATATGATTGTTACTGCTTTTGGACACACCTACAGGTCAGGGTCACAGTTGATCTTCGTCAGAGGCAACTAACTAGATCGGGGTATAAGATGCATTTCATATTTCGGTGCTCATGATGTCAATCACTGGAGTTTTAATCCAGATTCGACTATTTACAGACCGACATCATGAAGATGGAAAATTACACAACAAACGAATACTGCCAGTTTGCCTTTCACGGAATGGAGAGAACGAATCATCATGAAGTGCATTTCCACTACATGAATGTCATTGTTCTACAGCACACCTTAAAGATCTCAGAGAGTTTGTATTACTAAGTGTACCTCTTTGTATGGGTCCATACAATCACTTAGGTTAGATGCGTGGGGTGTGATCACCACGTCCCTCTCCCCACAGAGGACTATCTCGAGACAAAGGGCTCCTCGGTAAAGATGTCCAGCACAGCCCCGACAGCCATCCTCTTCTAAACACAGGTATAGTCTCCATAGTATTATGTGTCAATGGGAAAAGATCACCTGTGATAGTAAGCTCTATTGTCATCTTTTAACATTCACGCATGTCGATAATTAGTGACTTCGAGGATGGATCCATGGTTGAGGTGCAATGTGGATACCAGGGATTTTATTCCCTTACATGGACAAAACACAATATTCAACCTCTTCACGACTTACTCGTGGTGACAAGGATCTAATCTGTACTGCAGAAAGCCTGCAGGATATGTCGGAATTGGTTAATGATTACCTGAGTGCTGAAAGAAGACTCTCATCGTCAATTATGTCTCCCGCGTCCAACGTTGATGAACAGAGGCTGTTGAAGACGATGACTCCACATCATATAATACGTACATTAGAGTGAGTGAGTGAGTTAAAACTTTACATCACATCGGCAATATTACAGCCATTTAGCGATGAAAACAAGGTAATCAATTTTAAATATCTGTCGGCAAAGGACAGTGAAACTAACTAGACTATCACAGATATATATAGTTAAAACTAGTAATGAAATCTAAAATACTTTAACTGTAGAGGACGACGATACAATATAAAAACAGGCTATAGATCGTCAACAACTGAAGGTAGATCACCATACCAGGGACCATGGGGACTTACAATTACTTTGCTACCTGCATGGACCCTAGTTTGGTTTACATCATCCCTTCAGCCGCTGGCGATTGTATGAAATATTTAGCCAAACATTAAAAGAACAAAATACTACGTTTTAAAAACCTGGTAAGTCTAAATCTAGCTTTGAAAATTTTGGGACTTACGTATCCTCTCAGGAGGACAATAATTTTACGATACTTTAACCCCCTTCTGAGGAAACTACATTAGAACACACACAAGATACATAAATTATAAACACCACATCAAAGTATTTAAAATACAAAGATTTTTTTAATTTCACAAAATCATCTTGCACGACATCATGAGCTGTTGGATGGAGACTGCAGAAGAAAGGGTGACCCACAGCTTCATTTCTCCTTACCTTCTTCCTACAGTGGGAAGCACGTCTCCCACTCCAGAAGACCCCGAGTTTCCAGGTGTAGACGGTAGAATGTTGACCAGAAATCACAGGGGAGGACAGTAGTTCAAGCAGATCACATGGTTGTCTTTATATAAAACATGCACATTACAGGCGACAGGAAATTGAGTACTTCACATTGTTGTCTGTATATAACATGTGCAACTTACAGGGAGATCATATAGATCACATGTGTTTCTGGATAAGTTCCAGTCAGATATGTTACAGTAACTCTCGGGTGGTTAATATATGGTTGTTTGTGCTAAAAACGTACATATATTTTCTATACTTTCTACAGGAAAAGAACTGTCGTTGTGAATGAAAATCCTAACTGTACAAAGAGAGGAGTCAGAGTGTCATTTTAGTGCACTGTACATTTAAAAGCATCAACATCTTACCGCAGTGGGAAAGACCACCTTACATCGTGTTACGTAGACATGCAGAAGAACATGTTCTTAAGATATACCTGTACTCATCCACTAATGCCTT